CAATTTATTTATATTAAAAAATTATGAATTCGCGCTATTAATATTGCATAACTACAATGAACTGGCTTGCATGCTTAATTTTACACAACTTACCTATATTCAGTGAGGCATGTCGAATTTTTCGACAGTCCCTTTGGATAAATCATGCCACTAAATAGGCCAGTCTCATGGTTTAGCGGCGCATCTTTGATTGTTATCAACATCGAACCGCTCAAACACTTTATCCGTACAGTGGGTTCAATGTTTGGTTTCGTTGTGCTGGAGGAATCGGACGTTTCGGCGGCATCCAATTCGGCTAGGGCTTCTTCTGCAAGAATGAATTTAATGAGGAAATTCGTTATGTGTTTGTACTTATTTACATACTTAACTATCTATGTTATAATGGACTTCGAAAGTCTACTTGCTATAAATTAAGTTACAAAATAGATATGTAGGGTTTTCTTAAAGGCATAGTGTCTCTGAAATCCTCAAACCAAATGGATTCAGATGGTTATTCTGCTACAATTTTTAAAAATTGCTTAATTCGGGTTAACCTGTTAATTATTTATGATCTTTAATATGTCTCTGTTATCGGGTATTTTTATTGATGACTGGAAAAGAAGATTAATAATGCCAGCGAGATAACAAGGCCGAAGGAGTTGGTTTTTTCTTGGACAAATTTTAAATTTGGCAACACGGCTGTCTTCAATCTTGCAGTCTTCACCGCGGATTGTTCCGTCGATACCACACACACCGACTTTTCGAAAGCATTCGGTAGAGTTTCACATAAGGTTTTAACTTGCAAGTTGTTTTCAAGAAATCGACTACTCCGCCCTTGAACCAACCTTCTATGGGCTCTTTAAGACGAAAATCACGCCAAAAGTAGAGTGGAATACAACGATGCCATGTAGAAAGGAGGAATTAAATATTTACATGGATGTATCTAAGCTATATAACAGGCTTGGCTGTGGAGTTTTCTCTGAGGAGCTAGGATTAGAATTATCCGTATGAATTCCGGACCGCTGCAGCGTCTATCAGGCAAACGGTTCTGCTGTACAAATGCCAAAATTATCAGAACATTTTTACACCTTACAAGTCTTTCCATATTTTTTAATCTCTCTGGAGCTGGAGGTCAATTTATCGTAAAAAAAATCAACCAAAATTGGTGCAATAAACATAACTAATTAAAAGTATTCCCCACCGCTAGCTATGCCTTTTTCCCACTTTTCCGGTAATGCATACATTCTGAGCCAATATAACTTCTCGTCTGTTGAGACCAAGAAAGTATCAAGCCAATTTTTGATGGAAAATGGTAGTCTGATGGTGCAAGTTCCGTGCTATAAAGCGAATTGATTAGCACTTCCTATCCGGTACCGTCGAGATAAGTTTTGACCACTTGTGCGACAAACGGCTGAGCATTTTCTTGGTGCATGAGCAATGGCTTATGTCTGGTTCCCCTGGTCGTCCGTTTTT